AGTAAATCATTTGAATTATGTTACAAGAGGCATATTATAAAGTAAATACCAGGTGTTAGACTATCCTCGGTAGGGGTAGTGGCACATTTAAGGTTGATGACCGTATTTTTCACATACCTACATGGAGTGGTGACACAATCAACCTCGACTCAGCTGGTGTGATTTAGTGATCAAAGCATGGGATAAAGTGAAAGTCAAGACTGTAATAAAATCTTTTGAAAAGTGCAGTACCTCTAATGCAATGGATGGTACGGAGAATGTTTTGATGTGGGACACTGACGATGAAGCCGATGCACCAGATTCGGACTGGGACCCCTACGACAACAACACAAACAACGAGACTCGGGATGTATACGACGAGCTCTTTGTTTCAGACAATGAAGCCAGTAAAATCGGTGGATTTTAAATGTATGTAATGCTTTTTTTTTTTTTTACAATACTTTCATTGGTTTAACACCATATCGTTTATAAGGATTTTAGTGAAATAAAAATTGTAAATACTACAACAGCTGTTTCAAGATTGACGACCACAGCTACCTTCGCTGACCCACATCATTACAGTAATTTATATGGAATTTTGAGGCCACTTTTTGTATTTTGAATTTTGTATCTGTCCTATAAGCCGACCCTTGGTTTTGAGGTGGTTTTTTGAGGATTCAAGTGTCGTCTTATCTGCCGAAATGTACGGTATGTTTGTTATAAAAGACGTGGAAAACTGGAATTAGTTCTGCTGACTGTGTCTATCGGTATCTTCCTACTTAACGATTATTATTGTCATAGCAGTTTAATATTGTGTTATCTAAAAAAATTCTCCCATAGTATTAAAGTTTACCTTTCTTTCCTTCCTACAGTCCTTGTCTTGACCCAATACAGTGGTCCCTCGGTTAACGGACGGTTCGATTAACAAAATTTCGGTTAACGAATTAGCTCCCATAAAGATTTTCAGTTCGATTAACGAACAAAACTTCGATTAACGAAATCCTTACGACAAACATGTTTTGTTGTGCACATCAGCTGATCAGCCAGTCTGCCAATACAGTTCCCTGTAATCAGTTCTAAGTTTACATTCGTTTCCAGTGGAGTAAATATTAGAAATTGGTCTCTTGAATATTTCTGCATTTTTTATATTAAAATTATTGGTCATTCGGAAATTTAGTTAACAAATTGATAATATATACAGTACAGGGAACAGTTTTTGTGTGCCAATCAGCTGATTGAATCACCCATCAACGCTTCTCAGTTTAACTTTATTTACAGTGGAGTGAACATCCAGTTTGTTGGTCTCTTGAATATTTTCGCATTTTTACATTAAAATTATTGGTCATTCTGAAATTTAGTTAACATATTGATAATATACAGTGCAGAAATTATTATGAAACACGAAGAAGGCATTAGAACCAATGCACTCTGTAAAGAATATGGCATGTCATCATCGACTGCCTCTACAATCAGCTGTTTGATAAGTAAACAAAGCTGCCGGGAATACGACATACACACCTCAAAGTAAGTTAAAATACAGTATCCTATTTTTTATTTTTTATTATACAGTATACTGTACAGCACAGTACTGTATTTTGTTTATATTAAATGTTTTGTTAATTATATTACTGGTATACCTGTATAGTACTTGGTATGTACAGGTAGTTCTGCTATAACGCGATAATTGTGTTCTTGTAAAATATCGTGTTATAGAAAATCGCGTAATAGAAATAACAGGGCTTATGGAGAAAATAGGGTTAGGTGCAGATTACTCGAAATCAAAAAAATTTAGTAGTTAGCCTAACACAAAGGATAGCACAGTCTAAATAAATGTTACATTCATATCTAATAATGAAATCATACAGTAAATGTAACACTTTACCTTGAAAAAATATGAATGTAACTTGATGGGGTAGAAGGGTGATTTTGAGGTTGATAACATCGAGCTTCTCTTCAAGTGTTATATCCTTTCTTTTACGATCATCACTGGGAATTCTATCACCAGAACGCTTCTTGGAGATATTCTTCATTACCATATTCACAATTAATACCACAAAATTGGAGAAATAGGAAGCAAAAATCGCGTTATAGCAAACAAGCGTTCGCGTTATACAAATATCGTTCCTAATTCATAAATCGCGTTAGAGCAAATTCGCGTTATCAAAACACGCGTCATAGCAGAACTCACTGTATACTTTTTCTGTGAGTTGGAACCAATTACCTAATATCCCATTGAAATAATAGTTTCGGTTAACGAACGACTCTGTGGAACAAATTGTGTTCATTAACGAAGGGACCACTGTACATTACTAAAATAGTTTAAAATTGTCCATAGCCTTTTCTCCCTCTTTATCTTTATATTTTTACTTTGTTTATTATTAAACATGTTGAATACAGTTGGAATAAACCCAATAATTCATAATCAAAATCAATCTGGTATACCATATATACTCGTCTATAAGTCTACCTCATTTATAGGTCAACCTTGATTTTTTTACCAAGAAATCATTATTTTATGATATGCCTCGTTTATAGGTCGAACCAAGTTTTTGAGGGTAATGGAACAGCAAAACCTTCACTAAAAACACACTACGTCCTATAAACTGAGGGTCGCCGTGCCTGAAACACCGAAGGCAAATTGTTTACCATTATTACGACACTTTACACTGAAACGTGGGTAGTTTCAGCAAAAATATTGTATATTACCATTCAAGTATTTATTTAAGTCAATTAGGAGGGAATATTATTGTAATACAAGTTTTTTTTAACTGGAAACCATTCGAAAAGCGATTACGGTAACATCTTTTGAACAACGAAAGAAAGCAAAAGTCGATTGTTTTCGTCATGATTTTATCCCACTTTCCACTGTAATACGTACGTCATTTCAGCAAAAATATTACATTTCCGTGAATGTATTATATCAAGCACATTATGAATAGAATATCATTGTAATATAACAGTATTTTAATCGAAAACTAGTAAAAAACGAGTAACATCTCTCGAACATCGGAATGTTAGGTAAAGTCTTTTGTTTTCGTCATGTATTTTATCCTATTTTACATTGAAATACATCACGTTTCAGCAAAACTACTATTTATTTCCAAGAATATATTCATTCAGGCACAGTTACGGTAAAATATACTTGTGGTGTAACAGTTTTTAACTGAAAACGATTCGAAAAACACGTGTACGGTCTAGCTGATACTCACAGCTGGTGGTACGTCGTGCATCGTTGTAAACAATACGAGGTTGAGGTGGATTACTGGGTATTGTATTAAGTGTGAAATATCGAAAAGGTTTTCATTACCGGTATTTTTTGTAGATCAATGAGTACTGTGATACCGTATATGGTATAATAAGTTAGCCTGTGCTAAGAACTTCAACATAGACTACTGAAAGCACGCTGTAAGGTAATTTAGCCTATTGTAAGTTGGTGAGCTTCATTTGCTGAAGGCACTGCACAACTTTTCATTACTGATTGGTACATATTTTATGTTTCCATTGTTTACTGGCAGTAAATGGTAAATATTTTTCATGTCTAAAGCTAAAAGTTGCTCCTCGCCCTTCCCATCATGCACGAATTCAACCTAACAAAACTATTACCCATGTAGAGGTCGACCCCCATTTTTTGCCTAAAAATTTGGTCTTAAAAACTCGAACTACGCACGAGTATAAACTCGAACTACGCACGAGTATATACGGTATGTACAATCAAAGACCAGTCTTTTGTCGCAGTTTTGTCCAAAGATAAATATAACTTGTGAAACATTATGAAAGCCCTACCACAAGGCAGAGCGCACCAAAACTTAAGCCCTTCGGCATATGTTTTCACCAAATTTCACGACAGGACTTTGGTCTTTCATTGTACAAACCTTATACCAGTAATTATACTTTAGTTAACAAATCCCCCATTTAAGCAGTACATACATCAATAAATTTGACAGCATATACAGTACTGTACAAACATTTTTATTGACACACGTAATGACCACTACAGGGGGTGTCCCCGGGTTATTAATGGGTTCCGTTCAAGAGGATGTTCTTAAGTCGGATTTGTACACAAGTCTGAACACATGCTATGTACATACCGTACTTACAGAACAATGTTTAAAATCCCACTACAGTATATCAAAGCCTAAGTCCTTAATATTGCAAGTTATGGCACAACACTTTTTCATAGTAGGGACCATGTAGGAAAAGCATTCAGGTAGCGACCATCGTAAAACTGATCTTCGGCCATGGCATAGTAGTAATTGGTGGTAATTTTTTAACATCATAAAACTGATAGAGCGTATATACTCTGTAGATCCATTGTATAACTGTCATTGCCTTTATTGTACCTAGCTTAATAGAATGTGTTTGTAGTATTAATAAAAAATTACTGTACTGTATGTGTATAATTTGTGCACCTTGTGGCTCTCGATCTTCTGAAAAAATTATTGTATGCATCTCTTAGCTTAAGAAAGTCAGGCCACCAGTTGAAAGATAAAGCAGTAAGTACAGTACAGTACTAACTTCCACAAGCAAGCCAAGTCATTTGCTTACTTGTTACTATTTCTTTTCAGATATTAAAAGCAAGATGTCACATCAAAATACAAGATTAAAGTTCTGTTTACAGTACAGTATTGATAAATTAAATAAACAATAAAATGACCATATAAATTAAAGAACAACAAATATAACAAAACTACAAACTCAACATCCCTTTCATCGAACTGGCAATTCAAATCGCTAAGGATGCTTATCTTGGCAGGCAACCATGATACAGTACCTTCATTACGATGGATTAATATTGGAATACAAAAAGTTCTTGTTTACCACTGTACAGTGCTGTACTGTATATGTGTTCCTGAGAAGTGGAGAACTTAAATGAAAAGACACTAAAGAAATCAATTTTCTTTACTAGAAATAATTAAAATATCAATGGTTACAATGATAATGCAAACATGCTACCTCTCAGAAATAACCAAACCCAAGAATTGGAATAGTCTTTCTCCACAAAAATATATCATAAAACCAACCTTTTAAATTTAATTGCTGTCGTGACATGTGCAGAACACGAAGTTGGTCCTGTAGGTAGTTTCTGCACACCCTTTCTGCCTGCCGAAGCTGACCACGACCCCTTGACCTCACTGAGCCCAAGTATCGAGCCAAGTTTGACACACGGCTTGAATGATCACAGTTATAGTAGTCCAAAGAGATTTCACGAAGCTGTAAAGAAATTTTGAACGTCGACAACCATGATGACACCTCAACCCCTACCTCACTCTTACCTCAAAACTCGCATCCAGTCCTCCTATTTTTTCTCAAACTAATTTTGTAGATTACCTAGTTTCTAGTTTCACCAAGAATTTGTTTCCTCTCTTCTCATAAATACCCAGATACATTTTCAATACTATACTTCCCATATCACTGTTGTGTCTGTTTTCACCAAGTTTATCTTTAGATCTTAAAAAAAAAATTCTCCTACGTACAAGAAATTTTCATGCATTATCTTTGAACAAAACAACTTAATCCACACAGCCCCTTTATTTTTGGAACCCTCCCTTATTCTTCTCCTCCATACAGTACTCTCTTAATTTTGCTGGAATTCTCTTAAACCCTTCATTAAAGGACACCACTTTTAATATTTTATTTGACTAACCTCAAATGATTTTATCCAGCACAGCAGCAACCTCAGACACAAAAGGTTAATAATGACTACCATACACTTTCCCTAATATACAAGGTACTCCAAATTTATTCCCAAACAAATTTTGCATTTATATCACCTTTCCCGTAATACAGGTGAAAATATATAAGCTCTATCACCATTCAGGTAATCTCTCCTTTGTCATCCATAGTCTGCACATTGTTGTAGCTCATTCTGTAACTTTTCCATTTCCCATCTCGGACATATTAATACTGGTGCCATCCACACGTGGTGTTTTATCATTCTTCAGCTTGCTCACAGCTTGTTCATCAGCTCACTTACCAGTTTTCCTCTTTTGTTTTCACACTTTTCATTCCAGCACATCCTCCACATGATAACTACCTTTTATCTGATGCGCTTCCATACTTGCATCTGGCTTTCATATAACCTTCTCTTCTTGTTAATTAGTATTGCAAACCATTCACTCCATCAGTACCTCACATTGCTTTTCAATCCTATTCTCTAGCTGCTTTAAATTATTTTATGTAGAAAATGTAAAATGCGACAAATTCTAAAAATAACAACACTGATATTTACCACAGTGAAGGGATCGTTGGAAGCATGGTATGGGTTATCTGGAGTGAAGAGGATCAATGCTGGGCCGCTTTGTAAAATATGATCTAGTGTCAGACTCTTGGTTCCAGGCACATCTAACCACATGGCAGTCTCATCAAGCCGTTTGAATACCCAATTACTGATCGCCTCACTATCTGATGAAGCAGCACTTGTAAACACCTAAAAAAAATTAAGAAAAAATTTATTATGCAAAATAATAAATAATTAAAACAACATTGGTTTACTTAAATCTTTATGCAATGCAGTTTCATTTAACAAAATTGATAAATTAGGAAACACGTGTGTACACACGCACACTTAAGTAATAAAGGGAAAATCCTCTCACAAATAATCAGAAACATGACAACGAGATGTATCACATGTAGAAAAAAATGTGTGAGCCTACCCTCAAGTCAAATTCGTGCTTTGTTATTAAAGTTAACTCAACTTTAATAACAAAGCATGGAGTTGACTTGAGGGTAGACCCACATTTTTCTACATTTTGTCGTCTTGTTTCTGATTATTATTTGTGAGAGGATTTTCCCATTATTGTGTGTGTACACACACATACACACACACATATATACAGTACAGGTAAAAGAAATTACGGTCTCTAGAACAAATGGCTCCCTGTCCCATCCACAAAAATGCTGGCAACTTTGAAACTACCGTCAGACATTCTTGGGTACATCCAGGGTGTCATCCGCGAATACAACTCTGCAAATTATCAGGGCATACTGTACTAAGAAACTCTATATTATACAAAGTAGTACTCTGTTCAATCACAATAATGAATTCTTTATACAAATGTGTAGCTATTCATTATTACCTCTCAATCTCCAAAAAAATACTTACCAATGTGGTGTTCCAAAGCACCAAGTGAACTGACTGAGTGATACTGAAGGATAGGGCTGTGGCAGCTCTAGGATTTGTAACCACACCCCAAGCAACGGAATTGGTCTTGTCATGTTGTAAGGCACGCAGAGAAGCCAGAAAATACGAGTTAAAACCTTTTGGTAAATGGCTCACTGATGTAAAATCAAAGTAGCCCAGTACCACAACCTGCAATAATTATATTTTCTTTAACATAGTAGTACACAAGGTACTCCAGACAAGAACAAGACAAGTAACACAGTAGCTTAAGATGTTTTTATTATACGGTTATATTTATTAAAGAAATGCTGAAATCCACATGCATCTTTTTTTTTACTTTAGTTACTTGTCTTACTTCTTATCAATCATCATCAATTACACATGATATCATCCCATGTCACCCCATTAAATTGAAAGATACTGTACACTGCAATCGAAATAATGAGAATGGAGGGATTAATTCTCAAATCCTATTTTTCTATGGAAAATGAACCTTGCTTTTTCCAGTATTTTATGGTCTTTTTTTCTCTCGCTCTTTTTTTTTGGGGGGGGGGGGCCTAACAGGAAGGCATGGAACACTTAACACCTTCTCTTAAGTACCACTCATATTTTCCAGTTGCATTATAATGTTTATTTACAAGTTACTCACAACCTAAACTGAAAAACAAAAACTCATTGGTTCTGCAGAATATATCCTGTAGGGTAACCCACTCCCTGATCCTGACTGGTCCTATGACTAGAAAAACTGCCAGGAAAAAGCAATTTCACCACAACATCTAATACCAATTACGAATGACAAATTGTTTTCAATCTGTGGCTTCCTGTTAATGATGTGGTGCTCCACAGTGTAGGGCCTGCAAAGCTTTTGTTATACTACTTCAGCTGTACTGTATCTAAGAATGATGTTCTTTGTAAACTCATTCTACTATCCTCCTACAAAGAAATCTTCTGAGAACTGAAGTGTACAGTGAATCATTTCCAAGAGGAGTTGATGATTTATTACATCTTAAGTCTTATGATAACCAATAATCAATGAGACAATTAAAATTATGATAAAACTGCAGAAGGTGACAATATTACATGTTCGACTCTACTTACACTATGTTCCATCTGCAATTTAGCAAGATCCGAGTGGCTGGCAACATGGCTGAGAGGTTGCAATGCTCTTCTAAGAAACCGGATAATGTGTCCAGCATCCTGTGATCCTCCATATGCTATAGCTTTTGTCTCCATGCCTGACACAGACCGTACATGAAGAACTATTGCTGGGAAGGTTCGGATCTTGTATCTGGTTTTGCATTCTGACTGAGGATGCCAGCAATTGACGGCAGCAAAGTATATCTGAAATTATATTTAGAAAATTTCTGAGGTTCCATATCACATTTTACATATGAATACAGTAATATCTCCGTTAGCTGGAATCCCTCAAACCCAGAACTCTCTGATAGCTGGAATTAAAATTTTCTCGGAAATTCATTCCCAAAGCCGGAATTTTCCGAAAAATAACTACCCCTTGGGGAGATATTGGAAGCATAATGTATTGTCTAATGGTAGGTCCTGCTACCATATGGCATCACAAAAATTGTGACCAAATCCCAGGTTGCTGATCTGTCTTTCTGCCTCATTTACACACAATTGCAGGGTCTCAATTTCTTCTATTACTATTGACAACACAATATACATATATTGTTTCTCACTACAGTGAACCCTCAAAGATCCGGACTAAAAGGGGGACCACCTGTCCGGAAAAGCTGATTGTCCGGATTTTCCGGTGAATAATAAATGATATTAGAAACACAAAAAATAAGTACTAATGTAGTGATAAACAAATTACTGTATATAAACGTTGCATTTACCACCTATGATACATTGTGTCATTACTAGAGTGAATGAAACAATATTCCCACAAACAACAATTGTCAACTCTGTTTATGTTTCCCACCTCCTCGGGCACCTGTGTCCAAGCAACTGGCGGGTCAAGCAGCGCCCACGGGCCTAAAATGTTTTTTGCTCTGGTTTGTGAATGTTTCTTAGGGAAACTTCTAGGAGGCTTCATAGCCAAGAACCCCCAAATTTTTTGTCTGAATCTTTCAGATTTCCCGGTCAGTCGTTAACTGAATCTATCATTTCAATGGGATATTGGGTAATTGGCTTTAATTCGCAGAAAAAGTACATACTAAGTTCTGTACAGTATATTGGTAATAGAATTAACAAAACATAAAATATAAACAAAATACAGTACTGTACTGTACAGTATACTGAACAATAATAAATAAAAAAGAATAGAATACTGTATTTTAGCTTACTTTGAGGCGTGTATGTCGTATTCCCGGTGGCTTTGTTTACATAGCAAACAGCTGATTGTAGAGGCAGTCGATGATGACATGCCATATTCTTTACAGAGTGCATTGGTTCTAATGCCATCTTCGTATTTCTTAATAATTTCTGTACTGTATGTACATATTAATATTTTAACTAAATTTCAGAATGAGCAATAATTTTAATGTAAAAATGCATAAATATTCAAGAACACAACTTTCTCGATGTTTACTCCACTGGAAACAAATTTAAACATAAAACCAATTACTGTACTGGCGGACTAGCTGATCAGCTGATGAGCACAAAAAAAACGTGTATCTCTAGCAAGGCTGTCATTAATAAAAGATATACTCGTTAATTGAACTGAAAATCTTTATGGGAGCTAATTCGTTAACCTGAATCCCGTAAATTGAACTGCTCGTTAATGGAGGGACCACTGTATACTTATTTTTACCACAATAAAGCATACAAAGACAAATTACGTATCAGTAATACTACATGATGCATAAACCAATATTTTAAACTATCAGAATCACATTGAAATATTACACGGCCCCTAAAAGATGGTGGATGAGTGTGACAGACTGGGGAACTTGGCCGCCAACCCGTCAGCAGAGGCGGGAAATACGAAGTGGTTCGCAGTCATATTTCCAGCTTCTGCTGACAGTCGTGTAATATTTCAATGTGATTCTGATCGTTTAAAATGTTAGTTGTTGCATCATGTAGTATTATACGTAATTTGTCTTTGTATGCTTTATTGTGGGTAAAAATAAGTATATATTAAATGCATCCTCCAAAAGCGTGAATTTGCTACCAGTTCCACAGTTAATTCATGTATAATACTTCTGATATACTTCCTAAATGGTCAGGTTTGATATAATGAATGTATGTATCTTTATATAATTTAACTAAATATCTTTCTATTCTAAAACGGTCATCCGAACGACCATGAATAAACTCAATTAGAAGTATATCAATACTTCAGGTCAAAATCTTACAGATTTGCAACAGCCAATCAGCTGTAACTCTTGAGGAGGAGGGCGATGCATCTTTTCCCAGTTGGGAAAAAATGCACTATGGTCATAAGATCATGCGGTCAAACACCAATACATTGGTATTCGTGTTTCGCAGAACATACTATGACTTGTGATATGGAGACAATAGTGATATGATACAAGGACAAAAGGGAGTTAGCACTCGCCAAAACGTGGATAGCGCAAAAGAATTAAATCTAAATTATTACGAATAAGTAGTTGGTGCCATATTCCTGTAGTGGCTTGTGACTCATCCTGTGGCAGGAGGTCCCTGGCAGTGAAACAGTCAAGGCAATAATATTGATGGAATTTAGCATTGGAACAGTTAGAGTTTACAGGAAGAGAAGTGCAGGTCATCCCCCGCCTCAGATACGTACTTGCCAGATAGGTCTGTATCCTCACCTAATGTGAGCAGACAACATTATGTCTGCAAACCATAAATCCATGTTGACGATACTTGTGTGGATAAGGAAGAAAGTGATCATAGTGTTGGATGGATATAATTTCAGCCTGTTCACTATCCCTGCGATGGATTGTAGGGAGAGGAGCAGATGAACGTATTCTCTTTCGGTAGGTCATGCTGGGCTTATGTTTAGGCCTAAAATATCCTGATTCAATAGTCATAACTTCAATCATCAGTTATTGATTAATCTCAATAGAATCAATTTGTAAATAAATATGTGAAATGCTATGTGTCTTATTTTTATTTTTAATTGAGTATTTTTTTTTTTGTAATTTACTATGGATTTATCTTAATATCTGAGACAATTAATAATTATGTTGTTACTTTTTAATTTCAGTACTTGAGTACTTTATGAATGAGATACTTTTTTAATTCTACTTGAGTACATTGAACTTTGGATACTTTTAATTCTACTCGAGTAATATTTTGCCAATGTACCAATACTTTTACTTAAGTAACAAAATCCACTACTTTTTACAACTCTGTGCAATCCTCACATTGTGTCTGTGCCGAGGGACATGACTTATATAATAAAGCCTACTTAATTTCAATCCATAAGCTGCAAAACACAACTTCCCAACCAAATACTTGTGCCGAGTGACTTTCCTTTATATAAGTAGCATGTGAAACATCGCTTTCAACTGCCTGGACAATTACAGACGTCAGAATAATATTATCCTTTAATACAATACAATACTACATCAGACCTCACCAGTATTCTCTCCATTGTCAAAAGGTTATCAACCTGTGTAATGGACTGATTGCACTGTGCCACTCATTTTGAGCAACATGTGTCACAAAGGAGCAAGTGATCTTTGGATTTCCACTAGTCTCCATGGCCAAGGGGTTTACTGGAGAAACCCATAAAAGCCTGGGTGCACATATCCATGGGTCACTCAAACTTGTTGTCTTGTCATAAATACATTCTGCCCAAATAAATCTAAATTTGAAACTACTACAACAATGCACCTCCTAAGTTTACCTGTTCGTGGTGATATCTGGCAGCTTTTTCCACTTCCCAACGTATCAGTTGAGAGTCTCTATCCCAGGGAGCATAATAGACAACAAGTGAAAGGTCTGCTGCTAGGAGACGCTCAGTAAGTCCCACTATATCTCCAGTGTAAAAGTCAGACACAAGAGAGTGACGAGGGAAGAAAGGTTGTGGAGATGGGGTTTTTTTCATTAACGGCCCCCTGCAAAGGAAAAATAGATAGGTAAAAAAATTATTCATAGAACACTTGTTGACTACAAATCCAAATAGCTAAACTTCATACGTAGTTTAAAAATCTGAGTATCAATTTTCAACTAGTACAGTATAAGTACAGTACAGGTATTCCAATAAATGATGGATGGAAAAAAATTAGTGAAATACCTATAACTGCATTCTTAATCAAGGAAACTCTGCTGCTATCATGATGTACAATAGTGACAAAAGGTGAAAATGGTTTCCACAGGCCTGACAACCCATTAGTGAAGTGCTTTTACAGCCCACTGTACAGTACAGTACTATGCTTTGGTACATACAAGACAGTGTGGTTTCAGCACTGCATTTGACCATCTTCACTTCCTCAACTGTAAGGTTTAGTGAACTGGGGTGTCCTGAGTACCAAGCTCCAACCCTTATGACAGGAGATATGCTCTGTTTCTACTCAGGCACTCCTTCATATGGACAGCAATAAAGAAAATGAACAGTAATAAATTTCCTGTAACTGACAAGTGTCAGGTGATCCAAATACATGTACCATACTGTAATGTGTTTTGTCAATAAGCTTGCAGGTCTGACACCAGGAATCCTAGAAATGCTTGACTTGTATACCTGGAGTAACACTCCAGAAAACTAATAAATAACAGAACAACAAATGAGGCACGTACGACCAGAGTAAGCACCACTATGGTGAAAATCAAGATTTATTCACAAACGGAGAGGGAAACCACCTCTGTATCCCAAGAGAGATTACCCATACGTCACTATGTGTGGGGCTGGAGGTGAGGATGGTGGGCGGCAGCTCACAGAGAAGAAAACGCTAGAGGTCTCCATTTTTTTCTGGTGCTTTGTCCACTCTGATCATATGCATCTCATTTGTAGTTCTGTTGTTTATCAGATCATACAAGCCTCAAATAAACCCTCTCCAGACTCAACCATAGCTCAACTAATAAAAATAATGTTGGTCAAAAATAATCATGAAATTTTTCAACCACAACACATGAATTCAAGTAACGGAGGTACAAATTATCTTCCTATGTAACAAAACACAAAAACTACAATATTACAAAGATTAAAAAACAGTACAATACAGTATTACAGTTAAAAGCAATAATCAGCATTAATATCTAACACATTATAATACAGTGGTCCCTCGGTTAACGAGCACAATCCGTTCCAGCAGGTTGCTCGTTAACCGAAACCATTGTTTCGATGGGTTTTTGGGTAATTGGTTCCAGCTCACCGAAAATTGCCTAAATTCAACAAAAAAGGTAGAAAAGTACACTTACTTTGAGGTGTGTATGTAGAAGGCCCCTGGATGATGATGATGGGAATTAGAATGGGGGTGGAGGAGGAGGAAGAAGAGAAGGCATTGGGGTGGAAGAGAAGTCACCCCATGGCACCATTTCACCCATAAAATTTTAGTTCTCTTGGTGTATTTCAAGATTATTTTCTTTAAATCAACACTGCACTGCATTATATATTGTCAATACGTAAAATATATTTCAAAATGACCAATAATTTGCTTGGAAACAGAAAAAAAGCATTTAGTTGGAGAGTCTCAAGCAAGATGTTACTTCCACTGAAAACAGAGAGACTAACGCCTGTCTGGTGTGTTAACAGGCTGGATGGCACGCCAGAAACTAGTTTCTTTCCCTTCAATTATGTTCAATAATTGTTAAAATGACCAAAAAAAAGTTAATATTAAACTTTTAAAATTATTGAATAGTATAAACTTCTTAATATTTACTAAAATAGTAAGGAATTTAAGCCCTAAAACCGATTACTGTATTGGCGGACTAATACTACAGCTGGTGGACCGCCAAATGCAAGTGAAAACATGTTGAAGTCGGCTCGTAAAATACTCGTTAATCGAGGGATTGCTCGTTAACCGAAGTTAAAGAATCTTATGGAAGGTAAATCGTTAACCGAAATCTCGTTAACCAAGGCGCTCGTTAACCGAGGGACCACTGTACAGGTACTGTACTTAGTTTTGATAAGAAAGCACATTACATAATAATCAGTAAAAGCTTGAAACCAGTAACCCAAGTAAGCACAACATGAATTTCATGATGACGCTCTTGTCCTTATACTGTACCGTAAAGGACTGACTACCCTTCTGCGTACGACTGACGTGGGCAAATATGGACAAGAAGGATATAACATACCTTAACCATATAAGAAAAGTCAGCATAATAATCTACAGCAAATAAAGCACAAGAAATGCAAGTACAGTACAGTATATCTAACCACTCTACATTTGGCAGAATGATGCAACACAATACTGTACACTCATCTACTCCAAACAATTATTATTGCTACAGTAATTAACACTTACAAGGCACATGGATCTTTCATTATAAATACTTAGCTTACCCTTCTGACGTTATAGCCCAGGAACTAGAGAAAAAAATAAATTATTAGAATTCAAACACAGCTCTCCAAGGTTTTACTAAAATAATAACAATAAAGTCTAAGAAATAAATGATAACTATATATTATGCATACAGTAATGGAAAAATATTTCAAAGATCTTCACACCTGTAATTCTCACAGAATTTTTCTCCACCAGCTTCAGAAGTACTGTAACATGTTTCTGAGGTACTTTAAAACAGTTTGTACATTTCCACCTGCAGTACATCATTACACTGAATATTATTAACCTGACTTTTACAATATCATGGGCCAATGTTATCAAAGCAATGGTTTTCATTTTACCTTTTACACGACAGCTTGTGGATTTTTCAAGGCACAAGTGCGTATAGTACTATGCGAATACAATGGGTTAACACTATGAAAATATCCAGCTACAGTAATTCAAGAAAACAGATTGTTTAACGACTCGTCAACTTATGGACACTCCGAGAAGGTTATAATGTACAGTACTGTACTGTACTGTACTGTTGAAGGTTAATGATAGCTGTAATGCAAGAACATAAAAGATGTTCCCTAGAAAAACATTCCACATGTAGTACAGTGGAACATATCAATTATCTGGCAAGTTTGAGACCAGAGATGAACCACATTCAGGAGTTTTCCAACGTGGAAAATTATAAGCCAAGAATACAGTACCATACAGCATGCCCTTCAAATTCGCGGGGGTTAGGTTCTCAAATGGCCGTGAATCACCAAATCCGCAAAGAACATTTGCCGACCAGGGAGGGGGGGGGTTACAAAAAATAAGAAAGCACAAAGTGGACTTGAGAGTAAACTCAATATTTTTAATACATTTGTTTCTGATTATTGGTAAGAAGATTTTCCCATTATTATTTATTTGTACGTGTTTTGTGTGTGTGTGTGTGTGTGTGTGTAATAATAATAATAATAAACGGTTTATTAATAGAGTTGCAGCCAGTGGCTGAAAATATACACTTACATTTGATTTAGACATAATGATATAATATGCATTGAATACATTTACAGGGCTGTACAGTACATAAATCAGGAGTTGTTTATTATTTTAACAATAGATGGGGTGGTGCTGTTCTTATATCTATTGGTACGGGCTCTTATGGGCTGTATTTTGTTGTAGTGGCGGACTGCGCGAGTTGGGTGGGGGGCCGCAGGTGGCGATGACGAGGGTGGTGCAGTAGTCCACTGCCAAACCTTTCCAGTGCTTGGTGGTGGAGGTCACTGAGGGATGGCATTTCCAGTGGAGAGAGCATTGGTGTAGCCGGAGTATTCTGCGCCGAGCATGATTCTGCAGGCCCTTTTCTGTACCTTCTCTAGCTGACGTCGTTGGGTGGAGTTGAGAGAAGACGACCAGGCTGGTGACGCATATGTAAGTTTGGGGAGAATAAAGGCGTTGTAGATGGTCCTCAGCTCTGGCGTGGGTGTCCCAAGTGACCTAAGTCGTTGTAGCATGTAGAGACGGTACGAGGCTGCCTTGACTGTTATTTACATGGGCTTTCCAGTCAAGTTTGTTGTCTGTAGATACACCCAGGAGTTTGGCAGACTGCACCAGCTGGAGAGGATGGGCACCCACTGTGACTGCTGGGGCTTGCACTGGAGTGTATATCTACACACGCACATACTGTATATACTGTATATATACATCCCTGACCACCAAAGGGCCAAGACGTACCTGGCGCTCCTCTCGGAGCAGCCAGGTCAACTGTTAAGTTGGCCCATACCAACCCCCTCCCCTGAACCCTCCTCCCCACCGGAATATCAACAAGTTCTCGCCAGAAGTTACAATTTCATTTAGGAAAGGAATTGAACCAGTGTTAAACAGAGGTGAACAGTGCTTAAGTCAGTGAGAACAACTCAACAGTAACAGTCGTACCCAAGTTAACCTTCACACAGTGAGGTCCCAGGTACCCAGTGATAACGGCCCGTGAGACCCAACAACAACCAGCGATGTGTTAATCCGTCTACGATAGGAAGGCCTAAGACCAAACCTCACTCATATAACACCATCTGTGAGGGAATTACTACACCACATGTCCCTCATAACACCATATGTGAGGGAATTACTACACCACGTGAAGTCCCTCATCACACCATCTGTGAGGGAATTACTACACCACGTGAGGTCCCTCATAACGCCATCTGTGAGGGAATTACAACACCACGTCAGGCCCCTCATAACACCATCTGTGAGGGAATTACTACACCACGTGATGCCCCTCATAACACCATCTGTGAGGGAGTTACTACACCATGTGAGGCCCCACATAACACCATCTGTGAGGTAATTACTATACCACGTGAGGTCCCTCATAACACCATCTGTGAGGGAATTACTACACCACGTGAGGCCCCTCATAACACCATCTGCGAGGGAATTACTACACCACGTGATGCCCCTCATAACACCATCTGTGAGGGAGTTACTACACCATGTGAGGCCCCACATAACACCATCTGTGAGGTAATTACTATACCACGTGATGTCCCTCATAACACCATCTGTGAGGGAATTACTACACCACGTGAGGCCCCTCATAACACCATCTGCGAGGGAATTACTACACCACGCCAGGTCCCTCATAACACCATCTGAGGGAACTACTACACCACGTGAGTTCCTCCTAACACCATCTGGGAGAGAGTTACTACACTACGAGTTTGCTGTTCAACACCTACATTAATCTGTATGTTCACTGTATGTTCCTTTACCTTTCTCTAATGAAGGCTTTTGTTAAACCACCAATGTATGTAATAAGTCATTTATGTCCAATGTATATTTTCAGCCTTCGGGCTGCAGAATTTTTTCAATAAACCATTAATTATTATTATTATTATTATACAATACAGGTAAAGGAAATTACTGTCTCTAGAATGAATGGCTTCCTGACCTGGCCACAAAAATGCCAGCAACTTTAAACTACCCTGAAACATTCTTGGGTACATCCAGGGTTTCATCTGCGAATAATCGAAGTCCGCGAATTAAAAATCCGCAAATTTGAAGGGCATGCTGTACACATAAAATACAATAGAACCTCGATAAATCGGACTAATTGGGGCAGACCCCAGTCCGAAAAATGTGAAAGTCTGAAAAAAGTGAATAGATGAGGCGAGGGAGTTGGAGATAACACTGCTTATCTGAATTGTTTAAAGAAAATCAGTTATGTTATTACTGCACTTCAACAACTAAGGTCTTTAAATGTACAGGCATCCCCCGGGTTACGGAATTTCACTCTTACGGAATTTGTAAATGATGACCAATAATTTCGCGTTACGGCCCGTAAATCCGCCCTTACGGAAATTGGGGTAAATTTTAACAAACACAAGGCCTCACACATGCCATTCAGACTGACAGACTTGAAAAGTTTTACCAACCATAAAGACAGTTGAAGCTTTAAACATCACTCACAATGGATCTTGAATATTCCAACTGTAATCAGACATACCCCAGTTGCAATATCAAATTCTGTGGCACCACTAAAAAATAATACAGTAGTCCCTGGTGCACTCTTAAGATTAAGAGAAAACGGACGACTCAGGCGGCCTTGAAGTGAGAGAAAACGGACTCCTATGACGGGGCACTCAAATAAACATACACAGCTGTATAATGCAATATTATGCAATATTAACCCCTAATTTGGTGTTTTAAGAAGGTATATCAAATTATTTAATGTACTGTATTGTATGTGTTTATAAATGTTTATTTTCATTAATAAAAGTGCTTGAATTACTTTTTTGGGGCCAAAAAAATTCCTTAGGAACGCATCTCCAGTTTTATAATGGAAGTCAATGGGAAAATAGGTTTAGAATTACGGAATTTCGCGATACGGTCAATTTTCCGGGAATGGAACCCTTCCATAACGCGGGGGATGCCTGTATAACAAGGTTATTAAAAGAATATTAGTGCACAATGACAAGAACAAAAATATGACACGGAACTCTGGGTTGAAAATCAGACATATAAGTCTGGTTGTCAACAACTCTGTTGTCAGCGAGACTGATTGTGAAAAGGACTGGTTGTGTATGTTGACGAGCTGAAGAAGATGAACCAGGCAACTAAATTATTAGGTCCTATAAGGTCGTTCAGATATCTAGACAGTTCATCCCTCATAACGATCTTCAAGAGTGAAGTGCTTCCCCGCCTGGAGTACTGTCACCCCATCTGGTCCCCAAGATATGCTAGAGACTCAGTTGATTGAAAATGTCCAAAGGAAAGCCACCAGACAGATGCCTGCACTTTGGCACATCAGCTACCCTGAGAGATTAGAGCACCTGAAATTGCCTAGCTTATACCATACTACAGATGGGCAAGGGGGGACCTAATTGAGGTATATAAACAACTCAAAGGGCACTACTCAGTCAACTGCCCTTACCTGAAGCTGGCGGACGCTCGCCCCACAAGGGGTCACAGCTCAATGTTGAAGAAGCCGCAAGCCCAGAAAATTGCGAGGGATAACTTTTTCGGAGTGAGAGTTGTGAACTCGTGGAACAATCTGCCAGAGAGTGTTGTGATGGTGCCGAGTGTGAGCTCTTTCAAGACCATGCTTGACAGGCACTGGAGTAGGTTCTGATAAATTCAGGACCCGGTGCATGCCCAGTACTTGCCAACAGTGCATAACAGAGATGCGACTGATCGCCCAAGCGGCTAACGAGCCGATCAGTGGTTAAGAGGATAAAAGTATAAAATAAAAGTAAGTGTAGGAGTATATTGTATGTGGAAGACAAAAATTTATCTAGGAGCAGCTGGCAAATGGGAGGGGGGTAGCATGGGTGGGTGGCTCCCTCCCCCTAACTCCCACAAGATTCCTTTAACACTTCTAAATTCAATTCCACCACAATTCTCATAGTTTAGGATCACTTGGTGTCAGGTTGTTAAAATATTATCCTAAAAGTATCAGCTTTCCTGAAAAAAGAATCCCACATTGAACAGAGTCATTTGTTTACAAAGAGCAACAGCTGATCAGCTTAACACAATGTTTGTCTTCAACACT